TCTATACACAGAGCCCCCCTGTATACATTGTATCCCCCCCACATATATATTTATGGGGTACACTGCCTCCTTTCTCTTAGCCCCCCTCTCCCCGATAAAGGATACTCTCCATGCTGGACATCTTGTCTCTCGGTATTTCGGTGTCTCCGGTGTTTTCTCTCTGAACTCTCCCGGCTTCTTCCGGTTTATCCCCTCACTGTACTTCCTGTTTCCCCTCTGACGTGACTACCCCGCAGCCAATAAAAAAAGATTGCTGGGTATCGTGGGCGTGGCCCCTGGTCACTGAGCTCACCGTCTTGTGACACTTCCAGTCACGCTGGGTGGGGAGGTGGGCGGCGACCTGCTGAAGACACGCCCAGTCTAGGCACGACTGACAGGTATGGGCGGGACATTTGCTCTATGTGGGCGTGTCAAAGATCCATTCATAAATCTCGTCAGTCAGTCAGTGTACTGCAAACAGCAACCTCATGTCACCGCCAGGGAGGTGTGAGCGCTGTCCCCGGAGACTGATCACTGGGGGAGGGGAGACTGAGGAAATGCTTCCTCCTGCCTGCAGCAGACTGATCACTGGGGGAGGGGAGACTGAGGAAATGCTTCCTCCTGCCTGCCGCAGACTGATCACTGGGGGAGGGGAGACTGAGGAAATGCTTCCTCCTGCCTGCCGCAGACTGATCACTGGGGGAGGGGAGAGGAAATGCTTCCTCTTGCCTGCAGCAGACTGATCACTGGGATGATGGCGGATGATGATGATGGCGGAGTGCTGTGCGGGTCGTCAGTCTTCTCTGTACAGCGGGGGATGAGTCACCGATCATCGGTCTCGTGTCGCTCCTCACCCACCTCCTGACACTCTAATTACTTCTGGGAAATGGAAGAGAGGCCGGCGGCAGATATCGGATCCATAGTGATTAGAGGGTGAGGAGTGAGGGCCCCTGACCTGTGACTGGATTCAGCATGGGGGGCCCCTGACCTGTGACTGGATCCAGCATGGAGGGGCCCCTGACCTGTGACTGGATCCAGCATGGAGGGGCCCCTGACCTGTGACTGGATTCAGCATGGGGGGCCCCTGACCTGTGACTGGATCCAGCATGGGGGGCCCTGACCTGTGACTGGATTCAGCACAGAAACAATCTGACCTGTGACTGGATT